GGCTTCACGGGAGGGGGGCGGGGGAGAGGGCCGGGCAATGAGCAAGAGGGGGAAAGGCGACTGGTGCATGCGTGCTGTCGTTTCACAACACAGACGCACCGCAACCACAGAAGGCGTTGGCCCACCCACTTGCAAGCTCACACGCGCACTCAAGCGCTCTCTCTCTCTCTCTCTCTCTCTCACACACACACACACACTCTCTCTCTCTCTCTCGTTCCCTCTCCTTTCCTCTGGCGCAAACAACTGCACACACGCGCGCACACACGCGTACACCACGACCCCCACGCCGTCCCCCAGGCCGCACCTGCTCCTCCAGGATGACGTACTTGTACTCGATGCGCTGCCCCGCAGGCAACAACACCTCAGCCTGCCACACGTCACCCTGCAGCCACGTCATGGGCACCTTGGCGATGCTCAGAAACGACCAGCCAAAAGGGATCTGGGGGGTGCATCGCGGGACAAGGGGGAGGATCCATGGGGTAGTGCAGGCTGGGGTGGATGCGAGGCGACGTTCAGTGGGAGTGGGAGGGATGGGCCTCGCTAATGGCTCCAGGACGCTGGTGGGCGAGATGCTTGACAGGCGCCAGATGCTCAATGGTTCTGCTGGCGCTGCTGATATGGGGACAGGTGCTGCTGCTCGCACCGCAAGTGACGGTGATGGTTGTGGTGGTGTGGTGTGATGCGGTGTGTTGCTGCTGCTGCTGCTGCTGCTGCTGCTGCTGCTGCTGCCGCGGTGCAGCTAGCGTGCGTGCAGGCGGGTGCGGGCGCGGGGGCGCACCTGCGAGCCGCCGATGCAGAGCATCTGGCGCGAGTGCACGCGGTAGTGCACCGACAGCCGCACTTTGACCAGCCGCGGCTTCTTCTCCGGGTCCGGCCGCTCCCTCTCCCACTCCCGCTGCCACTCCCACTCAAGGGGCTGCTGCGCGGGCGCGCGCACGCGTGGACGTGCTTCGTCAGCGGGGGAGGCGAGGCTCGGCGCGATGCGACGCGGCATGCCGGTGCAAGCACTCAACCATTATGGCAGTGGCGCATTGCCATGAGAAGCACGTGCAGATCGGTTGGTGTGGTACGAGTGCTGCAGCCTCAGGCCCAAGGATTGCAGCTGGGATGCCCACAACAGCGACGCGCACAGTCGCCAGTCGCACCTGTTGCGGAACCGTGCCGTTGTTGGGCCACAGCGGCTTGATCTTGGGCAGGTCCTCGTCCGAAGACCCGCTATAAATGGCATTCACCATCGCTGCTGCTGCTGCTGCCGAGGCCTGGGCGGCCACAGAAGGGCCCCTCAACTCGCCATTTCCGCTGCCCGAGGGGTGTCTCCGGCCTTTGGGGCTGGCTACAGCTCCACTACTGCTGCTGCAAATGCCTTGGTTTCCACGCCGCGAGGGGGGCTGCTGTGCGCGCTGGCCCACAGACGCCCCGCTGCTGCTGCCTGCGGCCCCGCCCAGGGGCACGCCCCTGTTCATAACTTCCGAAGCTCCAAGACCAGTAGCACACGTTCGTGCTGGGGCAGGGTCCCTCGCTAGTCTAGAAAAAATAAAAGCCGGGCGCTGCGGACCGTTTCGCTAAGCCCTGAACGCGTCTCACAAAATCATAACTTGTAGAAATCACGGCAATTGATGGCACCCGTCGCGCTTGGCGTTGTGCGCACAGGGTGCAGAGTCACTATCCCGGTGACAGAACAGCGAATCGGGAGTTGAATCGGGAAGTATTGCACGTCTGAGACCGTAACATACACAAACGCAAGGGAAAATAGTATGTGCGCACACGGTGACGGCAGTTCGGCGATGGCGAGGCCCCCGTCAGCCGGGTGTTTGACCCATCCTAGGACCAACGGTGCAAACGCACAGCCACTGCAATGCCCAGGCAAACAGGAGCTTTTACCCTGATTTGTCGCCGGACGCGGCACATGGCATGATGCCGCACCTGCTATGCCACCCTGCCTGCCTGTAAACAACATTGAGGTATCGTTATTTGTGGTTCGCGTGAAGGACGCTGCGTGGTGGGTGGGTGGCGCCATTGCTGCTCTTTCCACCGACCTGCTGCTAATAAGACCAAGGGGAGGCAGGTAACAGTAGCAGCAACACTCCATGGTGAAACAAATAGGCGTTTCAGGGAATGAAAAGACCAAGGTCAAACCAAGTCAAACCGTCTGCGTGCCCTCCGCCAGCCGCTCATACGCGGCCCGTGCCCCTGCCACCATGCCAGCGCGCAGGGCGGCGCAGCAGTCAGGCAACGGCGCACCGTCGCCGCCCGCGCCTTGGCCTGCTGGCGTCGCTGGGTGCGCATTTGCAGCGCATGCGAGGTAGCGCTCCAGCACCAGCCTGGAGCCGCCGAAAAACGACAGCACAGGGTGGAACCGCAGCCGTGCAGCCGCGAGCTGCGCAGCCGACGCGGCCTGGCCGGCAGACACGAGCTGGCAAACTGCGTGCAGCAGCAGCGCGGCGCCCAAGTCGCCCGCGCCGGCGGTCAAGGCCGCACGCGGCTGCTCCGTCGGCGCGTCGGCTGCGGCGGCGCTGGGAGGCGTGCGCAGCGGCGGAGCCGACGTGCCGGCAAGCAATGCGCAGAGCTGGCTGAACGCAAGCTGTGGGGGCAGCTGCTGCGCGTGCTGAGCATGCTCCACTTGCGGCGGCGAGGCCGCCAGCATCGCGAAGCAGCCGCGGTGCAGCACGGCACACAGCAGGTGCGCATTGAAGGCGTCGCTCGCCGGCAAGCTGCTGCGGCGCAGGCGCGCGATGGCAGCCTGCTGCTGTGGTGGGTACGGCGATAGCAACCCCAGGCACAGCGCCAGGGGCAGGCCGCCAGATGACTCACAGCCAGCAATGAGCTGCGCGCACTCATCTTGCGAAACAGGGAGCAGCTGCCGACGCATTTCCTGCCACCGCTGCTGCTGCTGCTGCTGCTGCTGCTGCTGCTGCTGCTGGGATCTTGCTCCCTCCACCGCTAGCTGGTCGAACACAAGCAGCACCAGCTCTGCCTCGCCCTTGTGCACCATTGCATCAAACAGCGCCGCCCAGCTGGCGTGAAGCGGCGAGACAGGTGTCCTATCGCCAGCCTCCTCAGCAATGCCGGTCTTTGCCTGCTGCTCCTGCTGCTGCAGCTGCTGTTGCTGCTGGGTGCCGGTCGGACCCGTTGGAGCCGAATCATCACGCTGCTGCTCCTGCTGCTGCTGCTGCTGCTGCTGCTGCTGCTGCTGCTGCTGCTGCGATGTCTGGTGCTCCTGCCGCTGCTGCGGCAGCGCCTCGCCATCCCTCCAGACGTCTTTCAGGAGCGCCTGCAGCGCCAGTAGCTGCGGCCGCGACGAGGACGCCAGCAGCAGGCGACCGAACAGGGCGCCGGCGGCGTCGAGGCTGGCCACATCGTCGGGGAGCACCTGGGGTGCGGATGAGGGGCCAGGGCGTGAGCCTGATTGGGATTCAAACCATGTAATGCAGTGCTTCCTTGGGGATGGAGAGTTGGGAACGTGCAGATACGGTACTCACGGGCCCGTGCATGGTGGTGCAGCGCTGTTCCGTTTGTCACCCTGCCCGCATGAACGTGCGCCCGCCCACCTTGAACCCCGGCCACAGCCGGCCGATGGCGCCCATCGTGCGCGCAAACAGCAGGCCGCCCCCAGCCGCGCCGCCGCCGCCGCCGCCGCCGCCGCCGCCATCCGCTTCGCCTCGCTCGCCCCCAGCGCCGGCCGGCGGCCGGGGGGGGCGGTCCCCGCCGCCTGGCGTCCAGGCCCCCCATCTGCTGCTGCCCCTGATGTCCTCCTGCAGCTCAAGCAGTGAGGAGACCGCGCTGTGCCCGTAGTCGTCGGTCGGGACGCCCGCCAGGAAGCCGATGAGAAGCTGCCAGACGGCCGAGCGCAAAGGTGCGAGCCGTTGGTCGGATGACCCGATCTCCTCTGCGCCAGGCTCCTGCTGCTGCCGCTGCTGCTGCTGCTGCTGCGCTGCTGCTGATGCAGTCGGAGCATCCAGGCACGACGCCACCACCTCCAGGCGCATCAGCGCCTCGCGGCCGCCGTCCCCCGCGTCCGCGCCGCCGCCGCCCTCCCTCGCGCTCCTCAGCTCCTCACCCACCACCGCCAGCGCAGCCGACGCGGCGCCACACACGGCAGCCGCCACCGCCGCCTGCGCCCCACATAAGGCTCCAGAGTCGCTGCCGCTGGCGGCTGTGACGCTGCTGCCGGCGCGCGCTGGGCCAACCCCATCCACTGGTTGTGCCGCGGCGCCGTCTCCGCCCGTAGCGCCGGCGCCGGCGCTGCTGCTGCGGCTTGTGCTGCCACCATTGCTGAGGGCGCCGCTGCCGCCGCCGCCGCCGCTGCTGCAGCCGCTGCCTTTGAGGGCGAATAGGTAAGCAGCCAGGTCCAGGAGGGGTCCTGCAAGCATGCCCACCGACGCCAGGCGCGAAAACAGCCGCTGAAGGGCGGCCGGCCCCTCCTGCGCCTCGCCATTGCTCCCGACATCCATGATGCCGTCCTGCCCCGCGACCCACTCGCCAACCGCCTCCGACAGCGTCGCCGTGTCGCCTTCTGCCAGCCCCGCCTCCTCGCACGCCGCCGCGGCCGCGCCGCGCGCCGCCAGCCCCCGCGCGGCGCGGAGCAACGGGGCGGCGGCCGCGCGGCGCTTGGGGTTCAGCGCCGGCGGCGCAGGCGGCGGCAGCCACCAGACGCGGGCGGATGGGGCGGATTTTGGGGCGGAGGCGGCGGGCGGCGGAGCGCCGACCGGGGCCTCTGGGTCAAACAGCAGAGCAGCGATGTCCGAGAGCAGCAGCACGCGCGTCGCCGGCGCCATGTCCAGCACGCGCAGCGCCCCGACCGCCGCCACCGCCAGCGGCTGCGGGCCGGCGCCCGCGACGAACGCGCCGAGCGCCGCCAAGTGCTGCGGCGCGAGCCTCGGCAGGTGGGGGGTCACCGCCGCCCGCGCCGCCTCCGCGCGCGCCTGCTCGCCCGCGATAGCTGCGCCGCCGCTGCTTTCATCGCCGCGCGTGGCGAGGGCGTCGCAGCAGAGCGCCAGGTATGGCAGGCCCGGGCCGCCCAACTGCAGCAGCGCGCGGCGCAGCGCCGCGTGGCGCGCGGGGGACGCCCCCTCAAGCATGTCCCCGACCACCGCCAGGTGCCTCAGCAGCTTGGACACCGCCGCCGCGCCGCCCGCGCCCGCCCGCGCGACGTGCTCCGCCACCGCCGCCGTGCCCTGCAGCGCAAACGCGGCGGCGTCCGGCGCCGCGTCCGGCGGCGGCGCCGCCGGCGCGGGCAGGCAGGGGCCGACGAGCGTCGCGACGTGGGCGGATGCGAGGTGCTTTGCCGCGAGGCCGGGCAGAGCGCGCGCGCTCTTGGCCAACAGGTCACGCAGCCTGTCCAGCGGCGGCAGCGACGCCGAGACCGCCGCCGCGTCGACGCGCAGGGCACCCTCCCCCGCCGCGGACCCCGCTGGCTGGTCTCTATCCGCCATCCGCTCGTCCTGCTGCTGCTGCTGCTGCTGCTGCTGCTGCTGCTGCTGCTGCTGGCGGGCCGCCGCGGTGCGTAGCGCGTCTGAGATCAGTCCCAGCACCGACACCAGGTGCTGCGTGGCCACGGGCGCCATCGCCGCGTACGTCTCTCGATACAGGTGCGTCGCAGCCTCCGCGGGGCGCTCCTCTACCACGGCCGCCGCATGCCGCGCGACCTCCTCCCTTGTGCCCGGCACCGAGGGGTCGTGAGAGGCCAGGAGGAAGCTGTGCAGGTGCCAGATGCGAAGCTGCCATGCGTCCACGCCGTAGCTGGCCGCAAGCTGCTGCGCCTCCGCCAGCATGGCTTTGGGGTCGCCGCCCTGCTGCTGCTGCTGCTGCTGCTGCTGCTGCTGCTGCTGCTGCTGCTGCTGCTGCTGCTGCTGCTGCTGCTGCTGCTGCTGCTGCTGCTGCTGCTGCTGCTCCTGCTGCCCGCTGTGCTCCGCGGCCAGCTGGCCTGCGCGGCAGGCAAGCTCGATGCACACCTTTTGTTGGTACGCCGCGTCACCTGCGCCGGTGAAGTGACATCCGCAAACTCAGCACTGCCAACGCGGATCGTTGATGATGCAGCAAACACCTTGAGACCATCACCATGAAAAGCTATAGACATGAAGCAGGTGCCCGCTAACTCGTGCTTCCCCCTGTCGCCTGTCCTGTCTGCCTGAGCGAAACCTTGCGACCGCGCACCCACCTTCCACGAACCGCGCCGGCTCCACCGCGGGCAGCGCCCCGCGCAGCCGCCTGCCGTCCGCGGCCCGCCGCAGCCGCGCCCAGCAGCGCTCCGCGGCCGCCACTGCTGCAGCCTCGCCCTCAAACAGCGCACCCTCCTTCTGGAGCCGCCCGGCCGCCGCAGACAATTCCGATACAGGCGCCAAAAGCAGCCGCCGCCTCGCCGCCGCCGCCGCCGCTGCTGCGGGGACGGGCGCCTTGCCAGATGCGCTTTGCCCGGGCTCGGACTGCAGCACGTTGTCTGCGTGTGCCGCGAGCGCAAGCAGCAGCTGCGCCGCGGCGCCGGCGGTCAGCAGCCGCTGCAGCTGGCCATAGCTCACGCCGCCCTGCGCCGGCGGCGCCGCTTCGCCGGCTCTACAGAGCGCCCCGCCGCCGTTGGTGCCCACTTCGCTTACCCCACCCGCGGCCGCCGCGGCGTCCAGGAGCGAGCCCAGTCGCTCCTCGGCC